GTGCGCCCCAAAAAAACTCTTCGGCACCCCCGAACGACCCCCCGCCACCACGGGCGACGAGGCTGGGAGAGCAAGGGGAAATATAACACATGGGAACACAGCTCCGCGTCAACAGCACGGGCACGGGTGTTTCCACCAGCGCAGAAAGATTCGTGCGCACAGCAACTGTAAAGTAAAATGAGCGTCACGCACTGGGCTCTCCAGGCCCAAATTCGAATTTGGATTAAGATCGAAGTTGCCGCGACAACTAATCGAAGAGGTTGCATGTGATCAAAGCTGCTACAACAGCTGATGACATTAGGACTGTTAAAATGTATGGCGCAAGGCACTCCAGGCCTAAAAAATGCGCGACGATTGCATAGAAAAAGCTGTGCTAGGCCGACCAAAATAAGAGCCATAGGGATCGTGCTGTGCATGTGTCGTACTCTGCGCTGCCGAACTCACATGAAAAGGATAATGCGATGGATGGTGCGAGAAGATTGGCGACGGGCGCCTTGCCATGGTGCGCCCATGCCCTTGACCTCGCAGAGAATCAGGGATGAATGGCGGGCGACCTGCCAGGGTGCGCGAACGCCCGCAATGCCATAACATACTGAACGGTATTGTGTCATAAGACATGCAGCCTGAAATCTGTAGATACGCAGTGCCATAGGAGTGTCGAAAAGAAAACCTACATGAACGCCAAAAAATATACGCAACAACAGCAGAACCACGATATGCGAATCAACGAAACCTGCTGAAATCGTCGTATGCACCATCCCAAATGCGACTACCACGGTCGTCGAACTGGCCGATCGTACGCGCAATATTTGGGCCAACCCACATGTAGTCGCAATCGCTCTAGCCAACGCAGACCCATCTACGCAAGTGGCATGACCAATAGCGGCGCGCGTTTTCCTCGCAGCGACCCAGGCGGTCGCGCCACGCTCTGCGCATTCGCCTGGGGCAATCCACGCAGCATCAACGTCGCCGTGGCCTCAGAGAGCATTGCAGACACAGGCGCCTGGTGACCACGCGATGGCTTCGTGGATAAATCATACCTCGAGGTCCATACATTCTGCGGCCGACGCCATTCCCGCCCCCCCCCGCGGGGGCAACACCCGCGCCGAATATGCCTTCTGGCACGCCGGCCCTTTGGGCCCAAGCCCACGCGAGACCCTATGGGAGGCCCAGAATGCCAGCGCCAGAAGCGACAACTCCGGCGCACACTCAGGCGGAACCATCAGAGGACAGCGCCAGAAGCGGTCTCTTCGGCCGCGGAATGGATCCATCACAGCCACTACACCAAAAGATTCGAGAGAATCAACGGCCTGATCAACGGCTACCCTGGCCTTTGGAATACACGGTCATCGCCCGAGCGCGATTAAATGACAAGTCTGCGCCCGCGGCATTTCCGCCGCGATGCGACGCGGCTTGTTCTGCGGCAGTTCGTCGATAAAACACGGCCAATCTCTCGCGCGCGGGCAGGCGCTGAAAAGACAAAATTCGACGAAGCCACGAATTGCAACAACGCCCGCATCGACGAGTGGAGGACTTGGCTTCGGCAGCGGGCCGAGGCGGACGTGGGTGGCCCTCCATCCCCGCCACCAACCGACGGGAACAAGGAACCACAGCTGCCCTTGAGAGTTCCGCCGCCTCCGCCAAAGGCCCCCCCTCCAACCGAGGGCGCCGCTGCGCCTGCCCTGGCGAAGCCACCTCTGCCGCTGGCTGCATCCGCCGCCGCGGACTCCCCCGGCGAAGCCCAAGGATCCACCTGCCCACCGTCTTTGCCTACAATGCGCGACAGCGCGCCGGTGGCATCACCCGCAGACGCCGCTCCTTCCTCGGCATCTGCAGCTTCATCCCAGCTCGCAGCGATGGCCGCGCACGGGTGCTACGACCGATCCCGAACATGAACATGGAAAGAAAATGTTGGGCAAATGTGGAAGCTATTGCACCCCGAGGGAATACTGCATGCGTAAGAGGACAGCTGACTCCTTCCCCTGGGTACATTCCCCTTGCGAGGACATGGCAACTACTCCATGTGCACGACGGATCAGCAGCATATTGAACGTTCACAATACGACAACTACGTCATTGCGCATGCCCCGGATTTGCATGACAGCGGATGTTTCCCTGAATACGCATTGGCCACGCTGTGTCATGTGAGAACACAACAACTGGGACCATCTCTCCTCAAAGGGTGGACCAGAGACACGCCGATCATTTCTTTGGCACAACCAAGCAGTTTAGCAAATCGGTTTCCACCACGCTACGCCTCGACAGCCAAGAGCGCAACGGACTCACCCAGTTCGTTGATCGTCGAGTCAACAGCTGGCCGCGGTCGCCCGATACGGCGCCATGAGGAGTTCGCAGCGCTGCCTTCTCGTTCGACCAGCCGATGAAAGCGGCATTTGGACAGGGCGGACATGGACTAGACAAACAAACTGTCGCTGACCACATGCGGCAGGCTCAAGAACTTGGACATTCTTGACAGTCCTGGAATCGTCGGTTGTGTGCTTCGCGCATTTGTTCCAAACGAGCGAGCACGTCCTCGACCCGTGCCTTTTCAGCCTCTCCTGCGTGGGAGATCTGGGTGAATCGTAACTGCACGTGTTCCGCCGCGTTCCATACCTCGGCCGGTCGGGCTTCGAGGGAGTCGAAATCGTGAACCGGAATCGGGGTGCCCAGCGGACCAGTCTGGGTCCGTACAACACGCAACTCAGCCATCGCAGCGTGCATTTCAAGTAGCTGTTGCTCGACCGCGTCCTTCCGAAGCGTAGGCACACGTCCCTCCGAAACGTCAAGACGCTGAACGATGGCCATGTCAGCACTACGCAGCTTGCCGTGCAACTATGACGTGAGCGCGGTATTTCGGGAATGTGGGTTGGCAATCGCATTGCGGTCCTCTCGGAGCTGTTGATCCGTAAATCCATGTACCTCCATAGCTGGAACGTGCCGCACTGTCAGGAGCGCATCGTGTAGTGTCCTGACGGCAGCAACGCCCGCGCCCCTGACGCTCACGAGTTGGGCCTCCGCTGCGAAGAAGTAGCCGTGGAGCGTCCGAATTGCAGTGGGGTCGGACACTCGGCGTGACTCCACGCGGTCGATTTGATAGTGGACCTGGGCGATGATCGATCGACCCTCACCGATCCGAGCGTCGACAAGGGCAAGGGCGTGGTGGAGCGATTGCCTCAGCGCCGCTGTCCGCGCAGCAAGACCCGACAGCTGCTGGGTCGTGCAAGTTTCAAGCTGGTCTCGAAGCTCTGCCAAATCACTGGCCGAGGGCGACGCATACGGTGCGATATCGCGCCACCTGGAGCTCTGCCGTGAGCGCCTCGGGGAGGGGTTGCGGTTGTTGTCCTTAGTGGGACACTGGATGTGATACCGCTCACCGCTCAGGGGCTCTTCGCTGAAATGTCCACCCACTGAGATCTTCAATGATTCGCACATGCTCTGAACCGGAAACCACGGTGGGGGCGTGAAATCGCCTCAGCGGCGGTGTCGCGCAGAAGCGCTAAGAGGAGACGCTGATCTGGCACGACCACTGCGGGCGTCTCCACCAGCGTAGGTTGGAGAAGAAGGAGGCGAGGCGAATCCAGCGGTGGCTCCAAGGGCAACTGCTGGTGTTTCCATCAGCGAGGTTCTGAACTAAAGATGGAGCCAGGAGACGTATCAGACGAATCTGGCGCCACAGCATGTTGTTCGAACCCAGGCGCGTGATTGAGCGCGCGCGCGCGGTAGGCGAGTCGGAAACGAGGTCCCCGAGCGCAGCCTCGAGCGCAGCGGCGCGCCTGAAAAGAGGGAAGGCGGTATCGCAAGTCCTCTTGCCCTCGCCGTGGTGTCGCGACGCTCGCGCTCCGTCGAAGCCCCTGCACGCATAGTGGCACTGATTCCCGTGGGGTCCAGCGCCATGCGGCAGAGTCGAAGACGAAGCGGGGTGTCGCAACGGAGAACGTGAAAGAATGTGATGGTAACCTGTGGAAGTAGGTTGGCGACCGAAGAGCCGAACCTACTATATTTCTCGCATGTCGAAGAAGGTTAGGGATAAGGTCGCGAGCCTTTTCCCCATGCGCCGCGGACGGGCGGCGCTGTACCTAATACCAGTACCTGAACCGAGGCGTCGGCGGTAGATAAGGATATAATGGTGATATGAGCGGACTTCACACACACACACACACACTGTGTGTGGGACACGATCCGCGTGAAGGGGGTGCCGAATAATCGGGGTGCAATCGCGCGAACCCGCCCAACCAGGCCGCAGGTGGAGCTGTTTGTAGGGCACCGACCCGTATGTGCCAAAATGGGCCAGAGGGCGCCATGCGAAGTTGCCCATTGGTGTCGTGGATGGAGCTCGCTCCAGAGCACGGTTCGCGTGAACAGTGTGCCGACATGGGCGGAGGGATGATTTGCAAACCTTGTCTCTAGGGCTATGGGTGGTATGCCGAAAAAGGGGGGGCTATGCAAACCCTGAGGCGGGGGGCGGGATGCGAGCCTGGTCTCTGGGACCGTAAGCGAAACTCCCTGCAAAGCACGATGAGACGTGTAGTGAATGGAGCGACGTTATGCGAAGCTTCCCTTTCTAAAAGCAGTTCCAGCGGGCCAGCACTATCCGCATGAGGGGTGTGGTGCTATGCAGTGGGGCCGCAGGTGAAGCTCCCTGTGGGGCACGATGCCTGTGAGGGGTGTGCCGAGATGGGCGGGGGGCCGTGAGTGGAGCTCCCTGCGGGCATGATCCGTGTGAAGTGTGTGCCGAAATGGGTAACAGGTGTGCCCACGTGGTGATCGTGGTGGAGTGGCGTGCGTATGCATCCACTGGTTGATGTGACGCTAGTTTTGCCTTTGACAGGACATAAGCGCACGCAAAGCGCGCGTGGTTCTAGGATACATACACATACGCATGCACATATACAGAACCAGGTGTGAGTATCCCTCTCTGACGCCGCCCGTGGTGGCCGCTCCCCTCTTCTTGGCGGCCCAGGGTAGGAGTGGCGGGTTCGGGCGGAGGCGTGCCGGAAGGCATGCTGGCTGCAAGGCTCCTGCTCAAGGCAAAGCGTCCAATCAATCGATGTGCGGTGCCACTAGATGGAACGGCTTGTGCTGTCACATCGAATGTCATATTTACGCTGGCCCCGCAACAGGGGGCGCCGAGGGGCGTATAGCGCGAGGCCACGAGACCACGAGAGGAGCACGCGGGGAGGGGGAGGGCGACAGAAGAGGGGGGCGAAAGAGGATGGAGAAAGAAAGAAAAGACGTAGAAGAAGGGAAGGAAGGAGGAAGGGATGGAGGGAACAGACGGGGAGGAGGAAGAAAGAGAGGAGGACGAGGAGGGGAACGGGTGGAGGCAGGAGGCAGGAGAAAGGGCAGAGGAAGGGAGGAGGGAGACGCGGGCGGAATGATTGATTGGGAGGCATGTGTGGTGCTGCTCTTGCTCTTCGTCTACCACTCCACCACCTCATCGTGATGATGTTCATCATCATCAGCAGCAGCATCATCAGCAGCATCATAACCATCAGCATCACCCTATTCATCATCGGCAGCATCATCAGCATCACCAGCAGCATCATCATCATCAGCATCATCACCACCCCATCATCATCATCATCATCATCATCATCATCATCATCATCATCATCATCATCATCATCATCATCATCATCATCATCAGCATCAGCATCAGCATCAGCATCATCATCATCATCATCACCATCACCATCATCATCAGCATCACCATAAGCATCATCATCATCGGCATCGGCATCATCAGCATCAGCATCAGCATCATAATCATAAACATCAGCAGCATCATCAGCATCAGCATCATCGACATCAACATCAGCATCATCATAATCATCATAAGCATCAGCAGCATCATCAACGTTATGACAGACATCGTCATCATCAACATCAACATCAGCATCATCATCAGCATCATCATCACCAGCAGCAGCAACTGCATCAGCATCACTATCAGCATCAGCATCAGCATCATCATCAGCATCAGCATCATCATCGTCATTATCATCATCACCATCAGCATCAGCATCAGCATCAGCAGCAGCATCAGCAGCAGCATCAGCATCACCTTCATCTTCAGCATCATCAGCATCATCATCATCCACGGTGACGCTCTCGGGTTGTCTGGGGCCCGCTGGGCCAGTGTTGATGTACCCTCGGGGGCAAACTGTTGCGCATTGCAAGCGTGGCGTGGGCATATTGAAACGTCGTGGGCCCTCTTGGGCTCTCGTGGGGCCCTCTGGGAGCCTCTTTGGGAAATGTCGAGGCACGTGTGGGCCATCTTGAGGCCGTCTTGAGCCGTCCCAGGCCCGTATTGGGCCCGTCTGGAGGCGACGGCCCCCTTGGGGCAGCCCTGGACATCTTGGGGCCCTCTTCGGGCCCGGCGGTCCAGGGATCCGCCTGGGATCACATTGTGGCCTTTCGGAGCCGTCCGCGGCTCACCTTGGAGCCTCGGCACCTGCTGAGCTCCCGCTAAGCCTGGTGAGCCGGGACATCTGCGGCGAGCACATGGGCCGTCTCGAGGGCTTGGGGAACCTCCCAGAAAAACCCAGGAGAGGCTCCCGCGAGGATCTGTGGATGGAGGGGGCCAGTGCCGTAGCCTGGGCGCCCATGGTGCAGAGCAGAGCAAAACAGAGCGGCCAATAGTCCGTCCAGCGGGACCGCTCCGTAGTGCGCTTCGCGCCCATGGTGGGAGGGATGATGCCATGAGCGGCCTGGGGCAGAGTTTATCGCAACAGCGGAACGTCTTGCAGAAGAACGAGGGCGAGGAGGGGAGAACGAGAGGAGCAGGAGAGGGAAGGGAGGTGGGAAAAGACGGGACGGATGAAGAGAGGGGCGCTCACAGGAAAAGGCCCGTCCTTGTCCATTAAGAGCAGGGTTCGCTGTCCGCGCCGCCGCGGACTGTGTCCATTTGAAACACAAAAGGCCGCCTGTCCAACAGCGGCCTCTGTTGGTTCGGGACACCAATGTGTTGTTGCGCAATGTACGCATATTTCCGCACAAATTTCGGGCGTCCCACGTGATGGGCTGTCCAGGTGTCGGTTGGCCGCGACCTGCTCCGACCTGCCCCCGCGCGTCCGGCTGCCCTGGGCTGCGAGGGCTCCCGGCTGGCCGAAGTCAGCCCCGTCCAGCCAGCATTGCGCTGCCGATCGCCATGGGACGAAGCGATGTCTGATCGATGGGTGGGTCCTACCGTCGTATCTTTAGGGGCCCACATGCGCTGGCATCGTCTCAGGCTCGCCACCTCCCACCAGCGCCTGCTGCGCCTTCGCGGCCCCTTCCCCCCGTAAAGGGTGTCGATCGTCCCGAGAGCGGGCGCGCGCGGGCGGGTCGGCGCAGGCCGCGGCCGACGGACACCCCGGCGGCCCACGACGAGAGCGGCCACGCGCAGCCTGTCGGGACGGGTCGCTGCCAAACCGAGCGTGCGCCAGCGCGGGGCAGGCCGCGGGCGGGGGGTGCCCGGCAGGGGCGGCCCGCGGCCGGCCGGGCCCGAGGGCGGGGGCCGCGCGCGGGGGGCCGGCCGAGGTCGGCCACGGCGCATGGGGCGGAGCCCGTGGCCGGGCGGGGCCGGCGAGGCCGGCCACGAACGACCCGGGTCGCGGGGCCGACCAGTCGGGGGCTCGTGCGGGCGCGGCGGGGCTTCCCTCCCGGGCGCGGCGCCCACAGCCAGGCGTCGCTGCGGACGCCCAGGGGGTACGGGAAAACAGGGGCGCGCGGCCCCACGGCAGAAGCCGCTGTCCCAGACCCACAGCGGCCGCTGTTGGGCGGGCGGCTCGTCGCCTGCTATGAACAACGTCCCCGGCGGCGAGGGCAGCGAATCTTGCTCAAAATGAGCGGCAACTGGTGATGATCATGATGATCATGATGATGATGGTCATGGTGACTTCGTACCTGGTGATGGTCATGATGATCATGATGATCATGATGATCATCAGATGATGATGGTGATGATGGTGATGGTGATGGTGATGATGATGGTGATGGTGATGATGATGTTGATGGTGATGACGATGATGATGCTGATGATGATGACAATGGTCAATCAATCAAACAATCAGTCAATCAATCAAACAACAAATCAATCAGTCGATCAATCAATTAATCAATCAAGTGCCACATGGTCTCAGTTTTCACACTCCCAGCCCGCCGCTGCGTTCATTGCGTGAATGGCTCGCTGTTCTGAGACGTGGTCCCCATCAAAAGTAAAACTGACAGTTGCGCTTCTGGAGGCCAGGCTGCGGGCGCGGAAGGCCAACTGGCCTACTGGCGCCCAAAGCTGGGATGGCCTGTGGGCGGGGCCAGATGGCACCGCTCCGAGGGCAACGACTGTTCAAGAGAGGCGAATTACGAGCCCCAGGTCAATTGACCCTGGACTCGGAGGCCAAAAAAACCTGCACCGCCCCGGATCGGGGCAGGCTCAGGCATCTTTAGAAATCTAGACACGCTCAAGGAAACGCCTGTCTGGACACCTCCTCATCTTCCTGTCGGCGGTGCTGACCCGACACGGCGGCGGCTAGATCACCGACGCGGCGGCTCCACAGTCACCTCCTCACGGCGCTGCATGAATTGATCGACCGCCTGGGTTGGTGCTTCACCCCTACGGACCAGCGCGGCCAGCCGCGTACTCGTCGCTGCAGCGCGTGCGACGGCCAAATCTAATGTTATGTCGGGCGTGTCCTCATACAGGGGGACGACAAATTAAACATAGCCAAAAAAAACAAAATGGTCAACAACAAGGTTTTATCCGAGAACTCCGCGCGGACCTCCGAATTTGTATGTTTACGTCATTGTTTGTTTCCCTCTCGTTGGCCTTGGTTTTCCGGCAGCGGCAGTGCCTCGCTTCCTCCCCCAGGTCCTGCATGGGGATCTTCAACATGCGCTCCTTCGAATGCTCGATGATGACCTTCCAGTGCGCCTCCTCGAGGCCCGGCACCGCCACCGCAGCCTTCAGGAGAGCGATCCACACGTACAGGAATGGAGGCCCCAGAGCTGTGTGAAGGGGAACTGGGACACACGAATAAATACACACAAATAAACATATGCCCCATATTTTCCCATATTTTCTGGGTTTTTTGTCTTCCCCTCCACTTCCCATACTTTCCTATATTTTCTGGGAGTCGACGATTAATTGTGTCTGTGTGTTTCTTTCCCTCCTGACCAGAGCTGTGGCCGCTTCCCCCTTCGCCCCTGGGCTCTCCGACTGCTTGTTCTCCTGCGCCTGCTCGTGGTAGCCCCGGCACGCCTGCATCATGGCCTCGGATATGCCCGCAGCGACCGGGACCAGGTACGCGTAAAACGTCACGGCGCACACGTCTGAAGGGGCCCTGGGACACACAAACAAACAGACACAAATGACAGAATGTCCCATATTTTCCCGTATGTTCCGGATTTGTGTCTTCCCCCCCACTTCCCATATCTTCCCCTGTTCTCTGGGGAATCCACGATCCATCGTGTCTGTGTGTTTTTGTGTCTCCTGAGCTCAGCCGCGCTCGCCAGGCTCGGCCGGGCGAGGAGGAAAAGACTCACTGCGTCGACAACTCCTTGCCCCCCCCCTTGCTGGCTGCCGCGTCCTCGGCCTCCTTCAGCGGCTCGGCCGCCTTGCCGTCGGCCGCCTCCTCCGCCCAGCGCCTGCAGCCCGTCTTCAGCGCCCAGGCGGGCTCGCCGAGCATGCCGACGTCGTCGGCTGGCCTGGCCGCGCCCCCCGGCACGGAGCAGAGGCGGAGGCGGCGCGCGTGCAATCACGTGCTGGTGCAATGCCTCCAGGCTTGAGCTCTCGATGCTCCAAAGAAGGCAGGTGAGCACGTTGGGTATGATGACGTCCCCGATGAAACGGCTCCGCCCCCTGCAACCCCTCCCCGAAGCAAGCATGCGCACGACGTGTCGTTGAGCAGTGGCACGGCACGAGTAAGCTTGACTACAGCATGGACATGCGTTGGTAATGACGATCACCCGATAGACGTCACGAAAGTAATGGTGGTGAAGACGAAGGCAGTGTAATTGCGGGCATGTCGCGAAACAGCGACCGCACACCCTGTCCTCACAGTCGGGCGACCGGTGCTCTGCGGCCCGCTCCGCCCTCGGCAGCTCGCACCGCCATGTCTTCCTCCTC